GGCGATGGCAGCCAAGATGAAGACGAAGAAGATGACGGATCAAGTGAGCCGGAAGGTGGCGGATCCGTCTTGGACGAAGAGGACGCCGACTCTGTGGACCAGGATGCCTCCAGTTCGACTGATGATTCAGAGTCGGAGGGATCTGGCAGTGATGGGTCAAGTGTCGCGGCCGCAAAGAATGGCCCCTCAGAGGACGATGCTGCGATTTCCATCTCGTCAGACTCGTCCTCTGATTCTTCGTCCGAGGACAGCAGCAGCGATGACTCGAGCTCGGACTCTGAGCCTGAGGAGATTCCTAGCAAGACCCTCACCAGCCAGCGCCAGATTTTGGAGGATTCCCAACCACAGGCGTCCCGCAAGCTGCCTCAAGCCACACCGGCCGCCTCAGCAGCACCTGCCAATGAGCAACCTACCGTCCCGCCTGGACAAGGATTGACCAAAACCCAGAAAAGGAATGCCAGGCGCAAACTTGCCAAGCAGTTGGCGGCTGGCAAGTCAAGGTCGGCTCAGGGCAGCGAAGAGCCTTCTCAGACCACGGCTATGGGGGCCAGTGCAGAAGAGGCATCGCTCCTCGCGAGAAAGCAAGCACTGCTTAACGCCATTGCCTCTGACCGCCCGGTCGATCATACCAGCGAGGAGAGTTTCCAGGGACTCTCCGACTCAACCCCGTGGGAGAGGGAACATAGCCTCCCCTCCACCGCCGGCGCTGGCCCCATGGTGGCTTCGCAGAATGTAGCTGGACAAGCCGAGGCTTCGGCCCAGCGTCGGATAAAGCCAAACATTGGTGCCACGCGTCGAATGCTCATGGGGTCTCTTGGCCTCAAAAACCCCAAGACCAAGGCCGACGAAGACAAGATTCGACAAGACCTGATGAAGGGTGTTCGTCCGCACACCAACGCCCGTCTGGCCGAGGCGTTGTCGCAGCATAACGAGCCTCCTCAGACACTTGAATCGATAGAGGAAGATCCCGAAGCCTGGCGCGAGAAAATCGCTTACCGAGCCGTGGAATGCTGTCACGACGGGATTGAGCTCTCGGAACCGCCATTTCCTTTTGTCCAGCGGTGGGACCCCCAACAGCAGGTAGACGAATGGTTCGGATCGAAGAATAAGCGCGGGGGGAAACGTAAGCGCGCACAGCGCAATCAAGCGCAATTCTACGAAGACGGAGACCCTCAAGCGTCGAAGAAGCGTCGGATAACCGGTGAGAGCATGGGCGTGACTTTCTCGGAAGCAGCCGAGCCTTTGGAGGAAGGAGATACGACGCTCAACTACGATGATCCGCCTGACGAACCCCTGATAGCCAAGACCGCAGCTGAAGGAAGCCAGGCGACGGACATTGACGATCTTCCATCCTTGCCCGCAGACCTGACTACGCTTCCCGATCTCCGGCCGGGAGAGGCTAAGCTAGGCATGGTCATCACCTGGAAGCAGTGGCTTTTGTCTTCGGCGACTAATTGGCAACCCGAGGTCGTCAACCTGACCGGCGTTCTTGTTAGAGTACATGATGAGGAGGCGACCGATCTCGAGTTTCTCCTGGCCCACCGAGACCGAGAAGTCGACAGGACGGAGAAAAAGTACGACGAAGAAACAGGGCAGAGGGTGTACGACCGGTTTGAGGCACCCGACGACGATGACGACGACGATGATGCGGACGATGAGCTCGACCAGGGTTACCGCAGATTACAGTACGCGGAGCTTATCGAGCCCAAGATCGTGCAATTGCCACTGGAAGACCGGGCAAAACCCGCCGGCAACGAGGATTCGAGCGTTCCTCTAACCGACAGCATTGTTCATGAGACCGTTTACGATGACCACAGCCAGCCGTACCAGGTCAACGGAGAAGACGCTGGCCGGTCCAAGGCGGATATAGATGGAAGTCAGTTACCAATCGATGCAAAGGACGATCGAGCCAAGGCTAATACGGATGACGAACAGCCTCGAGTCTTCGCGGACAGTGATGTCCGACTTGATGCCACAGACCCTCGGTTTAGCCACAGCCCCGATGCGCAGCCCGATAATGTAGAAGCAATCGCCGAAGCGAACATGTCGACCCCTCGAGCAAACACCCGTGCGAACGATGAAAACCAACTACCAACAGAAGACACGGAGTCGCAGAATTCAAACGGCAACGCTCTCTCTATCACTTCAGACCGCCGCCACGAGATCAGCATCATGATCCAGGACGCAGGATTCCGCAAGGACGTCTTACCCTCCGTCCTCCGTCAAGAGACCAGCAGCCCTTCCCGCCAGTTGCTGGAGATGGCGGAGGTCGCCAGCCATCCTCGCGTTGCGTCGAGGTCTCCCCTTTCCCAGGAAAGCATGGTCAAGGTAGCGACGCATGTGCCCAAGAAAGAGCTCGGCCTTACTGCAGGAAGCACTGGCGGAGGGGCTGCAGCACCATCTTCATCTGCGAGTAGCATTCGCAGCGGTCGGCAGCTTGATCCCGACGACTTGGGCTTCAATGTGAGCGGCGACGATCTCCAACAGATTAGCGACATGGGCGACGGCTCTCTCCTACTCGACGACGACGTGGCGACACCGAAAGCCAAAGGGCAAACACCTACTCGGGACAAGGAAACTTCTGCCCCGCCCTCAACCGACGAGTCACTTCCGTCGCTGGCAAGTCTGGCGAGGACCGCCTCGCAACAGAACTTGCACAACCAGACGCAAAGCCCTTCCGAGGCCCAAGCATTGGTCCCATTCACGTCTCGCGACTCGAAATTGCCGCGCAACGAGGAGTACGAGGCGGCAATGCGACGGATTGACGTAACCGACAGTGACGAGGAAGATGGCAGAGACGAGGCGCCTCTGGAGCTTAGAAAGACCCGAAAGCAGCTTTTTCCCGCCTCCGGCCGACCAGACCAATCGCCGCTGTCTGAGTCGGCAGATATGCCCGACATAAAGCCAGTTGCAAAGACGGCATCTTCGCCGTTTGTCGAGAGGCAAGGCGGCAGACTGTTGCGACAGCGAGTGCGTAAGAGCTCTCCATTCGCGGTCCCTCCTGGCTCTCAAGTGGTCACGTTGTCGTCGAGCCCATCTAGTTCGCCCCCTCAGGAAGACTACGCGGAGGACAGTATCGATGCCGACTATGAGGACGGCAACAAGAGGAGCAGTCTCCCGCGTAGCTCCGGTCGGGTGCAGAAAACCAGGGCACCCAGGGCTAGCTCGCGGGCCAAGAGCGTTCCGGCGAACCAAGCGACGACAAGGTCGGCGAGCGCAAGGCGGTCTATCCCCTCGAGTTCCATGCCTGCCAACCCGGGCATCAACGGACGAGGGCAACGCATGCCATCATCGATGTTTTAGGAGAGACTTTTGTTTTGCAGGCGTTGACAGGGGACGGGGATGCGTATGCGTATGCGTGCATGGATGAGCGAGTTGGACTTGTACTTAGTAGCCTTTTCTCCCTTAACTGTGGGAACTGGCAATTTGGAACTTGAGTTGATAGTCAAATACCCGTTACCTGGCAAGGTACCTTTTACTTTTACGTCAATGGACGGGATTCGGAGCCAATGATGCTGACCACAGACTGGGCATTCGAAACCCCCGTCTGAAGATTTGTTTCCCCCCTCCCCATCTCTATTTTTGTTATATTCTGGGGCGGACCGTTGACATCTTATGCATGAACTTTGGATCCGGGGAAACCCGTCCGGGTATATTTGACGGACGAAACGCCCGGGTCGGGACGAGTTTCATTATGTAAGCTAGATGTGGCTACCTAGTTGACGGTGATTTGGAAAGAAAAGAAAAGGAAAAAAAAGAAAAGGAAGGGAACAGAACGAGAGAGGGAGGGAGGGAGAGAGAGAAAGAGAGGAGTTGATAAAAAGAAGAAACACCTAATGTATTAGAGGATGAGGCACGGTGGTGCCTTCGTGCCCCTCCAGGATGTGTACGTGTGGTGTTGTTAGTGGGGAGACTAGCGTACAGACTATATGTACCATTTGCTACCCACGTTTGCACAACCAACTATCACTGGATGAAAACATCCTATAATCCCCGATAGTCTAGTGGTGAGGATATCTGCTTGTCAATTAAACGATTCGCAGGGGACCGGGGTTCAATTCCCCGTCGAGGAGAATTTTTTGTCTTTTCTTTATATGTCCCTCTTTCTTTTCTAACGCTTCATTTATGCACATGTATGTATGTATATAGTCTTGGAAGATTAATACTTAGGAACTCGGTGTGGGTTACGCTGTCTGTTCAAGTCTAGAAATCAACGGTAATTGTATTAGTCTTAGAATATAAATGCATTCGAACCGCCGCAGGCCGTCGGTCCCGTTTTCAAAAGCTAACGCCAAGGCGGTGCCGTTTATAAAAAGACAAAAAAAAAAAAGGAGAGAAAAAAAGAACCCGGATCTTGGCGATTCTATGCTGTGAAATCGCGCTCCATGAATCGATACATCCGCGGATCGGAGGCACTATGGAGCAGAATCAAATACAAGCTTTTCACCAGGGCCCAGCGACGATGCCGATTACGGACAAACAAACGGGATATACTTGCACATCGCAAATGCCATCCCCGCCGAGTGGGAGCGTCCCGGGGGAACCGTCGCTGGTTTCGCTCGCCCAATCACGGGGAACGCAGCGCCGCTGACCTCCGCAAAGCGGGCAGGCAAAGGACCATGTGGGGCGCGTGCCCGGGTCCGTCTCCACTCCCGATGCGCCGCCCCCGCCCCCCGGAACTCATGATGTCTGCGTAGTAGCCCGCTTCGATGACTCGTCCACATGTAATTGTATGTATGCCGTGCGCTATCTGTACACCGCAACGACTTTTTGCGTACTTGCTGCGTGTCCAGGTGGATCGACACGCTCACCTGCCCAACCGGGTGACGTTTGCTGCGGGGAACCGGTCTAGGTCTTGGGAACTTTTGTCGCAGGTAGCTTAGCCGCATGTGTCGGTCTGTCACTCTCTCTACCCTACTCGTGTCCCCCTCAACCCTTCCACGGCGGTCCAGAAACTTGCTCTTCGTACCTCAGTAGGGAAGAAAGGGATCCAGACGGTACGGTGATGAGTGACACTAGGTGCGAGAATCGATTAAAAACAAAACTTCGACCAAAGTCATGACGACAAGTCCGCGTGAGTGAAAGAATTACGTATATTAACGGCATACTATATACTATCAGGCAGTACCAGAAAGTTGGTCATTGTCTTCGTATCACTCTATCAAGTCAACCACTCAGGCCGCGTAGCCATTCGGCGGGTTAAGCCCGTCGGGGACGTGGATGGTGTCTTCGTAGTACGTAGGAGCCGTGCTGTCCTTCCAGGTCTGCTTCACCGAGTCGAGGACCCCCTTCCCGGCGGCGTTTTTCCCGAGCGCCAGGTTCGGCTTGGGGTAGCGCGCGGGGGCGTCGGTGTTGAGGAAGCCGGCGTACGACTGGTTCCAGAAGCGGTCGGGCACCGCCGCCGCGGCGCTCCACTGGCGGACGACGCTGCCGGTCTTCTCGGCCACCCAGCGGTAGACGTTGGCGCCGACGTCCCACCGGCCGAGGCTCGGGAGGTCCCAGTTGGCCTGGACGGTGGCGAGCTCCGAGTAGTGGTTGTAGAAGGACGGGTCGGTGGTGTTGACGAGGGCGCGGGGCACGGCGTCGCCGAGCAGGATGCCGAGGACGCGGTTCTGGCGGGCGTACGACTCGTTCTCGTCAAAGGTGACGAGCACGAGCGTGTTGCGCATGAACCTGGCGTCGGCGAGCAGGGGCTCGAGGAAGCGGCGCGTCCACGAGCCGGCGACCGTGACCGAGGTGTCGTGGCCGTCGCTCGTCATGTTGGGCGTGACCCAGACCCACTGCGGCAGCGCGTCGGCCGCGAGGTCGGCGTGGAACTGGGACCGCCCCGGCTGCGTCATGGAGACGTTCTTGATCTGCGACAGGCGCTGCTCCGACGACGCGACGCTGTCGAAGAGGACCGGCGGGTTGTGCTTGCGCACGTAGTCGTTGGCGCCGTTCTGCCGGTTCACCCAGGCCACGCCCTCGAAGCCCGAGAAGGGCATGTCCTCCATGTAGGCGCCCCAGGAGATGCCCCGGGTGTCGAGCAGGTCGAAGACGGTTGACACGTTGCGGTCGGCCCGGTTGAAGTCGTCGTTCTGCATGCCCAGGTAGTCGCCGCAGACCGAGGCGAAGTAGTTGGGCTGCGAGGGGTGCGTGACGGCGAAGTTGTTGTCCAGCAAGATGCCCTTCTCGGCCAGCCAGGACAGGTTGGCTGATTGTGGGAGGAGATTTGTTAGCAGATTCCCCATCGTAGGCCCGTGAACACACACATCAGGGAGCAATGGGGAGGGGGAAGGGGCGGGGGAGACCTACGATCACCGCGAGCCTTTTCGTAGTCGGTGTTCTCGTTCCAGATTATAACAAACCGGTCGAAAGCCTTGCCCGTGACGTTGCTCGTCAGGCTGCTCGTCTTGGCCGTCGCGGCCGCAGCAGCAACGTCCGCGGCGCCCGTGGCGGTGTACCTCGTCTCCCAGCCGCCGTCCGTGACGGAGGAGGAGGAGGCGTTGGTGGACGTCGCCGTCGCCCGGGTGTCGACGACGGCGGCGCGAGCGGTCGCCGCGAAGAGGGCGGCGAGAGTGGCGCAACGCATCTTGGGGGAGGTTGAGATGAGTCGTCGGTGAAAAGCAGCAAAAGAAGCCCCCTTTCCAAAGGAACGACAAGACAAGATGAAGGCGTCTCTCTTGACAGGCCTAAAGACGAAGGGGGCGCCCGCCATCCAACGCAGGACCCCCCGAACATCTTATTTACATATCTCGCCGAACCGGACATGCCTGCATCAGTACCGTTTTTTGCTGCAGGCAGACCGCAGCAAGCCAGGACTGGGGGGGGAGGGGAAACTCTCGCAGGCCGGGGATCCCCTCCCCTGTCCCTGACGTTTATGCCGCCATACATCGGATGGATCGAACGGCATGCTAAACGTGCTCGCTCGGTGAGTGGTCACCCGTCGGCCCGTCTTGATTGTTTCCCCCTCATTCACTTTGGGCTGAACCCTGCGGTGGTCGGACTAACGATAACGGTTGCTGAAGACACGTGCAGCGCACGGTGATGCCGATTCATCCCGTGGGGTGGGTGACATTGACATTGCAAGATTCCCGCGCCACACACACGGCCAAAAGATCCGCATATTACATCCCGCAGACGGAACCGCCGAGCGCGGTCTGATCCCTCCCCCTCCCCCTCCCCCACTCAGCGCGGCAGCGCTTTTCGTCCTTCAACACCCGTTTGCCCATCCTGATTGCTCTCAGCGTTGTGCGCCGGCGATGATGACAAGCAGAGGCTATCATGGACCTTGAACGAGGAAGCACGCATGAGATACCCTCGAATCCCGTACCAACCCGCTTGACGGTGTTGGACCAGCACGCGGATGATGATGATGATGATGCGTCCATCGGCGTGTTCGCGGACGATCGTTCCGAGAAGTCGCCGTTCCTCCGTCTCAGTCACGATGAAGAACGCGGCCGACGAAACACACCGCGGAAGACCAGATTCTCTGCCGCCGTGTTCGGCGCCGTCGTTTTCTTCGTCATCTTTTACGCGTCGGGCATGATCTTCCCGGCGACTCCAACGCACAGCCCAGCAGCTGCGGCACCAGTTCACGTGGTCCAAGAACCCATCCCATCAACGCCGCGCTTGAGGGACACGTCCGAATACGTTCTCGGCCCTTCCTGGGATTTCAGTGCGGCCAGAAGTGTCAGGGAATATCACTGGACCATTCAAGATGCGACCTTGAATCCGGACGGCATCCTTCGACCCATGATGCTGATCAACAATCAGTTTCCGGGGCCGCTCGTCGAGTGCAATCAAGGGGACACCATCGTTGTTCACGTCCGCAACGAAGCCGCGAACGCCACCGCCATCCACTTTCATGGCATGCTACAAAACGGCACGAACTCGATGGACGGCACCGTTGGCGTCACTCAGTGTCCGATCGCTCCCAACGCGACCTTCACGTATCGGTTCACCGTCGACAATCAGTCGGGCACGTACTGGTACCACGCGCATCACAGCGTGCAAGCTTCCGACGGAATCGTCGGCCCTCTGGTCATCCACTCGGCAGCCGAGACGAGTCCGGAAAACACGTATGCGACTGACCGCATCGTCATGATCCAGGACCACTACCACAACACCTCGGCCGAGTTGTTGATGGACTACCTCCAACCGGACCGAGAGAACGAGGAGCCCGTGCCGTCCAGCGGCCTCATCAACGGGAGGAACCACCGGGACTGCTCCGACTTCGACGGCTGGGACTGCCAAAACGACGCTCCTCGGCTGCAGTCGCTGGAGTCCTTCGACTTGGCCCCGAACGAACGCCATCGCCTGCGAATCATCAACACGGGCGCTTTCGCCGAGTTCCAGGTCGAGATCGACGAGCACCCCTTCTACGTCACCGAGGTCGACGGCACAGCCGTCCACCCCGAGCCCTTTCATCGTCTCAATGTCCTCCCGGCACAGCGCTACAGCGTGGTGCTGGAGACCAACGCGACAGCCGCGGACTCGTTCTGGATGCGCGCCAGGATGGTCACCCATTGTTTTGCGCGAGAAAACCCCCGGCTCGACCCCGAAGTGAGAGCCGTCGTCCGGTACAGCTCCCCGGCACGCCCGAGCGGCGTGAGCACTGCCGCACGAGATGCCGCAGGCGCATACGCGGAGCCGCAGAGCAAGAGCTGGGGCGAAGCCCCCGAAGTCGAATGCCGGGATATGGACGCCGCCGTCCTCAGGCCCGTCGAGGTCGTGCCGGCGCCAAAGGCCACCGCGTCCATGTTTCTGCGCGCCAACTTTGAAATCGGCGCCTGGCGGCTCTCCCGGGGCTTCTTCAACGCCTCGACGTGGCACGCCAACGTCACGTCGCCGGCTCTGTACCGGGCCGTCGAGGCCTCCAAGGCCGAAAACGGCACCCTGCTGCCGCCCCTGACGACCGGGGTCAACGACGTCGCCTTCGACCCGGAAAGGGAGTTTGTGTACCAGACGACGGGGATACAGACCGTGGACATTGTCATCAGCAACTTCGACGACGGGGCGCACCCCTTCCACCTGCACGGCCACAAGCTCTTCGTCCTCAAGCAGGGCCCGACGGGGTACCCGCCGGCGAGCGCGGCCGAGCTGGAGGAAGAGCTCGCGGCCGCCGGGGTCCTGGGCAACCCGCTGCGGAGGGACACCGTGACGGTCCAGGGCTACGGGTGGGCCGCCGTCAGGGTCGTGCTGGACAACCCCGGGATGTGGGCGTTCCACTGCCACAACGCGTGGCACGCGGAGGCCGGCATGATGATGGTCATCGCCGCCATGGTCGAGACGTCCAAGGAGTGGGGAGTGGGCGAGGAGGAGACGCGACTGTGCGGGCTGCCGGGGGTCGAGAAGGGGGTCCGGCCGGGCGATGACGTCTGGTTCGGCAACTTTGGCTGACATGGCGTCGGTCCCACGTCGCGAAGAGGGTCATGACGACTTGACGAGAAGCCCGTAGAAGATAGTCACCGTGACGAAGAAAGGAAAAAAAAAAAAAAAAAAAAAGAGAAAAAAAGAGACCAATAAACTTTACCTCTGACCATATCGTTCGTTGTCCATCACGCCACAGCTTGGGAATGCCACGGCGGAAGAGAGGAAGAAACTCTGTCAACCGACGACAGTACGACATCCTTTGCTCGGAATTACACCGAGAATTTCAAAATTGGCTTTTGGCGATGGTGGATATGAGCGTATCCCGCGCGGCTGGACTAACGTAATGTAAAGCTCCACGCATGTGAGCCCAGACGGAAGATGCCGGAGCGGCCGCCGGGCGGGAGGCAGCATCCCTCGACCGCGAGGTTCTAGACTCCGCACACCATCTCCGGCAAGCTAGGCGGTTTCCAGCTTATGAGCGGGTGGGGGAGGGGGTGCGTACGTGATAAAAGCTGGGAGATGAGGAATGGGTTGAACAGGGCCATACCTGCGAAGTACTAACTTGATCTGTCTCGAGACTCCGCTTCCCTGCCAAGCCCGCGTGCATCGAGGAGTCCCCCGTTGCGCCGACGTATCGTGCCCCACTCCCAAAGTTCTGTCTTGGCTGATAGGGAGGGTTTAGTTGCGGTATTCCATGGTACTGTGGTTCTAGTTGGAAACCTTTTTCTTGTTGTGTTGAGTACCGGGCATGATGCTTATACTGTGCTTTTTCCGGCTGTGTCCGACGCGGAACCAGCTTTCAGAAGCCAGGGAGCGCAATAACTTTACTTTTTCTTCAGTGGATGTCGGCAACTTTGGGCGGAGAAAAGCATCGTTGGATCGAATAGGTAGGGATGCAACGGGGGCCGGGGCTTCGGGGCCGGGGCTTTCGGGCCTGATGTTTTCGTCTGCTGCGTTTACTCTTGCTCTGCATAAAGCTCTCACGAACGTTAAGTCGAACGAGCGACGTTTTCGACGTTCTTCGCGGTCTGGGGTCCGTACGGACGCCGAAGATGGATCGAGGTCTCGAGGACGATCGACGATCGTCCTACCGACGCGGCAAAGCCAGACTTAGACGCGACGTTGTAAGTTAAAGCGCTGCCCAGCAGTTCTCCAACCCGCCCCCCTTGCAGCCGTTCGTCGCGTGGACACGAGACAGCCCGAACTCTAATCCGGAATCGGGGCGGCAAGGGACAGAAAATGCGGCTCGAGCATGGTGGCATACACACGCAGAGTTACGCAGCGGCAAGTCCCGCGACGTTTCCGGCCGACGGGACCAGGAATCATGCCACCCTCGCGATCGCCCAGATGGTCGATGCCAAAGTCCCGCTTGAGGGTCGTTGGAAGACGAGCCTGGGCTTCCCTACGCTGCCGCGCATAACGTAAAGTAGCCATCGTCTGATGATAGGAGGCGACGCTGTTTTCCGGAAAGCCAATCCGATTGCAACCTAACGGGTGACCCCCACCCCCAGAAGTCCCTGAACTACGTGGTATTATACCTACGTGTTTGCCCGGGCTACCCGGTCGTCGATCATACTGGTGGTATTATGTTCAATTTAGACTTCCCGAAGCTTGGTAGCAAGCTTCCACCAATAATTGCGCCACGTCAATGTCATCCCTGGTGAACCATTGTTCCGTCACGCTTTCCTGTGTTCTCTATGCATCCGTCGAATGTGCGTTGGAACTCGACTGATCTCGACGCAATAATACCCCACCGGAGCTGGAAGAGACGGCACGGACTGGAGCTGGAAGAGACGGCACGGGAACTCGGCAAGCTGAGGAGAAGCGCCGAACAGCATCAGTTGGATCCCGCCAGGGCAAGTTCAGGCAACGCCTCTCAGAGGCATAGGGGAAGGGAGCTCCTCAATGTCGGCCGAGCGAGATTCGACGCCCCTTGAGCGGCAGAATCTGGCATGCTTGCGGAATTCCAGGAGCCTTTGTGGGGTTCTATAGATTTATATCCGCCGCTAATCATGCAAGGGTCAAACCCCCCTGCACTCGCGAGATGCAGTGGAATAGTTCCATGGCCAATCTACTTGGTCCGGCCAGCGTTTCCGTGTGCAGGTGGCGTGCTGTATGTCGCGGTAAAAGCAAAGAGCCGTTGATGAAGAAATCCTGACAAGGCTACGCCAAGAGATCTGGTGGCTTTGGATATAAACCCGACCGCCAATCCTCCCCCAGGTCCGTTCGCCAAGAGGATAATCCAAGCCATCAAAACGTGCAGCTCACCCTTCTCCCGTCTTGGCGCATTCGACATCTTGTCCTAGCTTGTTCTACCTTATCCAAGACATTCTGATACTACGTATCAAGTCGCTTTCTTAACAAGAGCCTTTTCACCTTGCCAATATGGTTTCTTCTTCCCTTCTCGCCCTCGGCGCCTTGGCCGCCTCCGCCATTGCTGCTCCCCTCGATGCCCGTGCCGACTGTACTTTCACCGATGCCGCCTCTGCCATCAAGGGCAAGGCGAGCTGCCAAAATATCGTCCTCAAGGACATTGCCGTGCCCGCCGGTACCACTCTTGACATGACGGGCCTCAAGTCCGGCACCCACGTGCGTCTAAGCTTTGAGCCTCGAACGAATAAACCGGCCTATTGAGCAGCCCTACTGACTGACACGCGATTATAGGTTACCTTCCAGGGCAATACCACCTTTGGCTACAAACTGTGGACGGGCCCCCTCATCTCCTTCTCCGGCTCCAACATCGTCATCGACGGCACCGGCGACCACGTCATCGACTGCCAGGGCCAGCGCTGGTGGGACGGCAAGGGAGGCAAC